CCTTTCTTCTTGCGAAGGCTGTATGCTTCCTGGGATTTTGTGAAAGGGTCCCTAGAGAGCTGTTGAATCCCTGGTGGTACTCGTGTACCATCTTGTTGAGCGAGTCCCGCAGGTAATAGGTGTGTCCGCTGGAAGTTGCGGTACTCAGTGGGCACGGCCGACGGAGCTCGTGTCAAGCAGCGGTAGGGCCAGCTGGACGGGGATGCAGTCGTTCTCGCACATGACAGGCCATTCCTGCTTGATCAATTCAAGCACCTTTCCCATCTCACGCTCAGCATTTGTTTCCTGGACTCGATGGGCGGACCGGGGAGGCGGGGCGGCCGCGTTGCGGGCAGCGGGAGGGGGTCGAGGATTCGTTCGGCGGGGAGGGGGGGCATGTCGGTCGCTGCCGTATCCCTCTCCGTAAGGGTCGTACTCGTCATCCTGGCGATCGAGATTGCCGTAACCACCGCCACTACCACCACTACCACCACCGGCGCCGTTGCGGTACGCCTGGCCGTATCTGCTGGCCATGGTCGCTATCGCATCGAGTCGCTGGTCATTCTCGGTCTCACCAACACCGGAGATTGATGGTGTCCGTGTTCCGTGGAGAGTAGAGTGGCTTGGCTGTACACAGTACACAATACAACGACTGAGCTGTCGTTGAACTTTGAGAAGTGAGAAAGGGATGGGAGTTCTGACAGCTTTCGGTTCCTGCTGGTGCAGGTGCTTGAGTCCCCACGAATGCGGGATGTGGGTGATGCGGCAGCTGAAGGACCCACAAATCCTCCCAAAAAACCCCTGGCCAGATCCAGCCGGGCACAACTGACCCCCTGCAGTGGCCGTTCTTTGTTAGAGCATTTCACGACTCAAACGCAGCAAGCAAACGCCAAGCATCTCACTCAGTCTCATCGTCTTCCACCTTGTATCTAGTTAACTATTGCGCACTACTATAGGTAGGAGTCTAGTGTATTTATTTCTTTGGGAGTAGCGGGGAATGAGGGTATTGACCAAACCTGCCAGAACACTCCCCATCGTCAGGCTTGTTAGCACATTTACAGGTCCTTCAACAGCTGCCATGACTCTCCAATTCCCAATCCAGGCTCCAGCTCGTTATGCAGGCGAGACTGAGCCTGTCAAACGGCCAAGGGTGAGTATAAACCCTCCCAGATCATAGTCTCCCAAGATAGAAAATATTCTGATACATTGTCTACTCTAGGAGTTCGCGTGTTTTTCCTATGACAAAGACCACAAGTTCCGTTTGGACGATTCGTCCATGAAGTGGTACTATCCGCCGGAGATAGGCACAAACTTGTCGCATGGTTACGATACGTTTATCAAGCATGACGACTCGGTAGATGAGCACCTCGACAGCCTCCTCAAGACCATAGCGGACCACGAACAGCAAACAGGCGGGCCGATAGATGCACACATCGTCACCTGGAGAGGCATGCTGACCAAGGTAGGAGGATCGGATGCTTCGTTTCTGAGTTTATGGTATAAGAGTGTTGACGCCGGCTAGATCATGGCTACGCCCTATGATGACGAGGGGTGAGGCCACCTGAGGATCTTGTTTAGCAACGACCCCATGCTGAATGTCTTTTGTTTGTTTTAGGTTTGAGATGAATGCTACCCTTTATCGAGTACGTCACAATGTTTCCCACTGACATCCGCCCTGCTAACTGCCCTAGGATTGCATGTAAGGAAGGAACTCAACATGTATCCCTTCAAATTGAGTCTGGGTCACCGGACTAACAATATCGAATCCAAGTTTCATAGAGGAGAATCATGCCTTTAAGGAGAAGAAGCGGCAGATGGAAAGCAACCGGGAAAACAACCGGAAGGGGCACCGGACTCCACCGTCGGTGATGCAATATTGGGGTGAAGTTCATCATTGATGCTGCTCATGAGCTTTACCAGCTAACATTCACCTCAGGATACAAATTCGAAACCCTCAGCACAATACCACGGCCATGGGGCGAGACAACTAGAGACTACATCGAGAACCGAGATAATGAGGTCACCAACAACAAAGAACAGTATTGCTCCGTCGTTCGGACGGGATTTGGCAAATCCATCGTCTGCCTTGGAGGCGAAGTCGACGCAAGTACGTAACTACCTTTCATGCCTTCTAGGATCTCAGAATGCTAACGCTCACAAAGTATGGGATGCGAAACCCGAGACGCCAGGCAAACCTATCAACTGGGTGGAGCTCAAAACCACCGCTGAAATCCACACTCATAACGACCGATTCAAATTCGATCGGAAACTGATGAGATACTGGATCCAGTCTTTCCTTCTCGGCGTGCCTAAGATCATTGTGGGCTACAGGACGCAAGACGGAATACTCAGCGGAGTCGAGGAGTTCAGTACGCTGAGCATGCCGCAGGACGTCCAGCGTAGGAAGACGGCGAAGTGGGACGGCAACGTCTGTATTAAATTTGCCAGCCTTTTTCTTGACTGTAAGACCACCCCCGTTCACACCTTGCACCCTAACAGATACTAACCAACATCTATCTGCAGGGCTCCGCCAGAGCATCAACGACGGGGGCGTGTGGAGGATCAGACGGGAGAACAAGTCGGACCACATCGAACTCTTCAAGGTCGAGGAGGTCGGCCACGGTAGCATCATCACGGACGAGTTCATGAACTGGCGGATAAAGCTGTCGCTCAACAAGGACAAACCACCGGGCTTCGAGCCGTCGGATGCCGCGGACGCCGAACCGTCAATGGCTGAAGAGCCGGTGCCGGAAACTGCAAGCGCGTCTGGGGCGTATTGAGTGAAGATGGTGTATTTGTACTGATAAATGTCACAATGTCGGTCATGCCAGGTTACGATTTCTGGACACGTAAATGAGCGGGATAGGGGCTTTCGAGGGCAGGCAATTCTAGATGTACTTATTCTCAGATTTCCTAATGAAGGCGACACATCACGATCCAGCGCATGCGAAATGGACCCAAGTCTTTCAATTTAAAACGAAAAAGAACGGTGCTCCCATCAAATGCCAACAAACCCAAAGCCATGCCCAACCGTAAAGGGTACAAGTAGCAAAAATACTACAGTATGCGATGCTATGCCCGCCTGCTGAAGCCATAAAAAAAAAAAGAGACAGACGACAACAGAGGCAATGAAAATGAAAATGGAACCAGGAACCCACCCCCTCCCTCCCATCCTCCCTCCCACCGCCCACATTACATCCCATCTGACAGAGGCAGCCCGCCCTCTCCGTCAAGGCTCATTTCGTGTCCCATTCATTCATACAAAACCCATTCATCCATCCAGCACCTCTGTCATGGCCGACAAAGCAGTCCAGAATTCAACAGTCCAAAAACGACAAACCGAGGTTCCTGGAAGCAAACAAACACCCCCACCTCCCACCCTCCTGTCCAACAAACACAGCAACGAACAAACGAACGACTGCTAAGCCCAACATGGCCACAACATGACATCATGGCCCGGTCCATCCATTTCCGGCACTCCTTCCCACCTACCCTACCCTACCCACCCCAGCCCATTTACCACCCACCCCTCCACAACCCCCCCTGCAACCCCAGATAGAAGGAGAAGATCAAGCCCCCGCCACAACCCCCCAACGCGCCCTCAGCCCGTCCGTCCAGCGCGCATACAGCAAATCCGACAGCGCCTTGCAGTGCTCCATGCCCGGGACGGCCGCGCGGCCGGGAAATTTCGCCTCGAGCGCGAGCGCCACCATCCGCTCCCTCTCTTTCTCTCGTTCTCTTTCTCGCTCCCTCTCCCTCTCCCGTTCGCGTTCCCTCTCGGCACCCTTCTCGCGATCGCGCCCCGCCGCGGGGGGCAACCGATTGGCCTCGCTGAACGACGAGGTGGGGGAGGTTGGTTGTGGGAGCATGCTCCCGCGGCGGCGGCGGTGGCTCGCCAGGTGGGGGTTCTCCTGGCTGATGATGAGCTTGGAGGGGCTGCCGGCGGCCGAGGTGGGCGGGGTGCCGGCGAGGGTGGTGGCGGTGGAGGGGCGGGAGGATTTGATGAGCACGGTGCCGTCCTGCGGGGGTTGTGTTTTTGGCGGTTGGTGTTGTTGCTGCGGCGGTGGCTGGGGAAGAAAGGTGTGGCTGAGCTTGGTGTCGTGGGAGACGGTCGAGACCAGGTTGCGGAGCAGGTGGTAGGTGCCTTCGGGGTCGACTGCGTCGATGAGCGCGAAGGCGTCGGAGAGGCGGGCGAGCGCCTCGCGCTTGGAGGAGGCGGCGGTCTGCGCGTGCAGCTCGTCGAGGCAGGGCTCGAGGGCCTTGTTGTAGAGGCGGCGGCCGAGCATGGCTTCTTTGCTGTTTGGCTCTACCGGTGCGTGATAGGTGGGCGGTGGTTGGTTTTCGTTGGCGAACTCGCGAGTGGAGGGGTCGATACTTGTGGGATTGGAGTTTTCTGACGGTACGCGCCGGAAGAGGCGCATGGTAGACCCGGAATTGCCGAAGGACGTGTCGGGCTGCAATGGGCGTTTCGGCCCGAGCGATGGCCGTGGAGATCCGCTGGAGCCCCGGCGACGGATTGAGTCCCGACGGGCGTTCTGGCGCGAGGCTGCAGATGGTTGCCGCCGCATTGTCGACTTCCGGACCGTCCCAGGAGTATTGGGTTGGAGAGGCCCGTCCTTGAGATCCAATTTACGCATGGCATCGTCGACCGAAAAGGCGGACGACGGCTTCCTAGAGCGAACGGTACCCCGTCTTGGTACGATCGATTTCACCGTGTCGAAAACCCACTCGTCCGCTTCGTCCTTCGGGGAGATGCTATGGAGCGTTTCTTGATAGTACACCGGGTGCTTCACATGATCCACCCTAGCGTCGGCCATCCGCTTGCGCTGGATCAGCTCCTGTAGGGCCTCCACCTTGCCGGCCGACCGGATGAAGCGATGCTTCAAGAGTTCCTTGGCCGTTGGTCGGAAATCAGGGTCCTTGACCAGGCATTGGGCGACAAAGTCCTTGAACTCTTTACTGAACTTGCCCTCGAGTCGTGGCGGCGCGTTCTTCGGGATATGGAAAAGGACCTTCATGGGGTGGAGGTTGGCGTGGGGAGGTTCGCCAAGGGCCAGCTCAATGGCCGTGATACCCAGCGACCAAAGGTCGGCTTTGAAGTCGTAACCCGCCTGCTGGATGACTTCCGGGGCCATCCAAAAGGGGGTGCCAACAAAGGTATTCCGTTGCGACTTCATGTAGGTCAGCTGTGCAGCGACGCCGAAGTCGGCCAGCTTGACCTTGCCCGTCTCGGATAGCAGCACATTCGCGGCCTTGATGTCGCGGTGTATCTTTCCCTCCGAATGCAGGTATTCGAGACCCAGCAGCAGTTCGCGGCAGATGATGGCGATCTGTATCTCGTTGAAAATACCCGATTTGAGCTGCGCGGCCGTTAGTCCTAGCCAAGAGAGACCCCAACCCATCACAACCGTCACGACACCACGTACCAGGTCGAGGCAGGATCCGCCGCCGAGGTATTCCATGACAATCCACAACTTGTGTCCGCGCAGGAAGCTGGCTTTGTATTGGGTGACATAGCTGCTGGCGCATGTGCTAAGCACCGAGATCTCTTGCTGAATTTCCTGGATGTCGTCCTCGCTGGACTCGAGGTCGATCTGTGCGACATTGGGGGTCAGTTTCGAGCCAAATTGGGAAATGAAACGACGTTGCACCCACGTGCTTGATGGCGACAGTCTCCCCCGTGGCCTTGTCGATGCCCTTGTACACGACGCCAAAGCTACCACCTGCGCGCGCTCTCAGTTAGCCAATTGCAACAAGATATTGCATGCGCACATGATCGCAACTCACGGCCGAGTTCCTCCAGCACCTGGTAGCGGTTTACTACCCCTTCGTCGGCCATTGTTGACTTTGTTGATGTTGACGAGGACATGCGATGATGTCGCGACTCGAGCATGGCCATGGCGGGATGAGGCGATCGTCGAAGCGAACCTGTGGAGACCGATCGTAACTTGGTAACTAATGGCGGAGCAGACCGGGGAGAGGTCGGTCGGTCGAGACGGCGCAGTTCGCCAATCGTGGGAGGCAATGGTCAACAAAGTCAACGGGTCGACCTCGTGGTGTTGATCCTGGTGCTGGTGGCCGGTAGCCTCGACGTGGAGGAGCGAGGAGTTGGTGATGGGTTCCTGGCTGCGGGCGGGCGCCAAATCGAGTCTCTTACAGGCGTGCCCTGTGCTATTAAAATTGGCCTATACGATCTAGCAGGGTGCATCGGTTGTCCGGGTGCTGGGATGTCGAGCACGGGCCATTGTTTACTTTGGGAATTGGAGATGGGGGAGAGTGGGGAGCTGAGTGCAGGGTTCACCGCTCTCGATTGAGATGGCAGAGGTGAGTGAGAACTACAAATTAACAAAAATGAAGCTATGGGAGGTCTAATTTTTCACAGTGACTCTGGAGGCCGTGTAGGTTACGTGGTTAAGTCATCGGGCTAGATTAAGAACTATGGACTCTTCGAAGTGGAATGGGCAAACATGCTAGCTATGCTGTTCGATGCAGCTGCAGTCGCTTTGGCCAGAGACCGATGGAGACAAGCACGACAAGGAACGCTGCAGCCGCCTTGCTGTCAGCTCGGAGAGCCGCGCGGGCTCCTCCATTGGTCAACTCCCGACGGACGGCACTTTTTTGGCAATCGACCAATGCGATGCACCCCTCTCTCTTGGCCTTGATTGGGGTCGCTTTCGAAGGTGGGGGGTTGGTTTGAGGTGGGGTATGAACCGTGGTTGCCCCTCGCAACTGTTGTTCGGCGGGAAGGAGCTTGGACCTGCTTTCACCAGGCAGCTGGTCCTCTCCCTTGGGCGCTTGCAGCCACCCACCAAGTAAAACGGCCGCCAGCTGTTGACATTCGGTCGCTCGTTGGCCATTGTCTTCATTCATTTTTCTTGAATTCTCACTCCACGAATCGCGTGTGGGGGGAAACCAGGACACCCCTTCGATCACGACGACGACAACAACTCCCGGACTTATCACCAGTGCCGGGTTCTTCCTGGATTTTAAGTCTTTGGGACCTCCTTCATTTCGCCTGTGAGCTTGGATGGCTCCTCGTTGCAACTCCACATTTGCTTGCCGAGCAATTCGAGAGGCTGGTGCCGTCATAACCCGCCCCGTCCTGGACCTTCGTACTTCGTCATTTTTGCGACACATCGACCCAGGATCGAGACAAAGAAGACCGTCCGAACCCGACCACAACAATGGTTCTGACACCGCCACCCTTGCCAATGCGCTTCCCATGCTGGGTGCGCGCAGTCTACTCGTGGGGAGGAGAGGTGAGCTTGTTTTTTGTTGTTTGTTTTGCTACTCCTGACTTTTGCTAACCGCACCCACGTTATAGTCTAAGCGTGATCTCGGCTTTATCGAAGGCGACCTCATTGAGTGTCTCAACGCAGGCGATGGCTCGTGGTGGACTGGGAGGTTGTTTCGTGATAAGAGGGCAGTGGGCGTGTTTCCGTCAAATTTCGTCGAGGTATTGCCGGACACTTTCCGGCCGACTACCAGATCTGTCAGCCCATTGCCTAACGGCAACACGCCCAGCCCCAGGGGTACTCCGCAAAAATCGAGAACCTTTCGCAAGCCCTTCGAGGCATACGCCAAAGCGCCGCACTACACCACGGCCAAGACCCCCGAGACATGGAAGGATGGGATTAAGCCACGCGATGCAGCAGAGGCGTTGAGGGAGGGGGCAGCTCGATCCCGCGACACCTCGAGAAATTCCGTTGACTACTCGAGCATGACTTCTGCTGTCAGTCTCAAGGGCGGCAGATCCCCGGCGCGGGCTCCCACCCATGTTGGGCGAGATGCTTCTCCAGCCAGAGCCCCCAGCCATATCGCGCAGGAGCACTCCCCTTCACGGTCTCCTAGCCACGTCGGCCAAGACTACTCACCTGGGAGGACGCCGAGTTATATTGGACGGGAGCCTTCACCACAGGTCCCGATTCATGCCAACCGGGATCCCTCTCCTGCCCGAGCCCCTAGCTACGTTAACCGGGATCACTCTCCCTCCAAAGCTCCTAGCTACATTAACCGAGACCCTTCTCCTGCCCGGGCTCCCAGTTATGTCAACCGGGATCCTTCTCCTGCTCGGGCTCCCAGCTACGTTACCCGGGACCCCTCTCCCTCCCGGGGTTCTGGCTACGTGAGCCGAGACCCCTCTCCTGCCCGAGGTTCTGGCTATGCTAGCCGCGATCCCTCTCCTCACCGCGCGCCCAGCTATGTCGATCGGGACCCTTCCCCTTCACGAGCTCCTAGTTTTGGCTCCAGGGGACCCTCCCCTGCCCCGTCATACATACCTTACCGGCCCCCACAGGCTCGCCAGCATGCTTACCATCTCAGCTTGGACCAGGTAGAGCCCTACCGGCCTGCCCCATTACAAGGAGGTGATTCCCCTCCTCCTCCGCCGCCTCCGCCGCACCGCTCAAAGTTGGCAAAGCATGGGACCCATGCGTCATACGACGAGGGCTACTACGGGGGCCTGGTAAAGGAACCTGCTGCGCTATCTAGAGAGCACTCCAATGCGTCGTATTACAGGCCGCGGCAGGGTTCAAACGCATCTTATGAGCCCCCGGCTGCGGCCACGGGGTACCATACTCCCAGGATGCCATCGCCGTGTCCCCCCTCACCCGGCGGATTGACTCCGTCTCCGTTGAGAGAGGCGATGGACGACGTGATGGAGCAACTTGATGCTCTAGGGGCTGGTCGAGAGGCCGAATCCCCTGCGCCGCCAGCGGCATTGGACCCCTGGTCCCCCGAGTCTTTTGACATGGTACATCATCTTTCGAGGAAGAAGAGAGACCCGCAACGCCGCCCACAATCCACAGCGGGAATTTTGCTTCCTACAGACGAAGGATACGAAACGTACAGCGGAAGTGCTGAGTCTTCCCAAGAGCCCACTCCTCAAGACACTCATCAACAGCCTCTCCCTCAGCTCAGCAACTATGTCGAACGGATGGAGTCGCGGCTGAAGACTATGCATCAACAAAATTCTAGCATGCTTGATGTGGAGGACGAGCCGCCCCCTCCGCCCCCTAAACGCGGTCATCTGTTCGAACGCCCCAAGTCCTCGGTGGACATAGATGGGCAGCCGGAGCAGAAGCTGCGGAATAAAAAGTCGGCTTACGAGATTAGCCGACAGGTCCTCAACAGGACCTTTACCACCAAGACCAACTCGACAAATAGCTCGTCAGCGACACAAAACACTGATCGTAGTTTGATGAGCGGCGTGTCGGCGGGGGGGATCAGTGCTACGAGCGCCGGGAGCCTCGCAAGGAAGAATCGGAGTAGGGCTCAGAGTGCGCTTGCTATGCGGGATCTCGATGCAGACCGGCCCGGCACGCCGTTCACGGGAGTTACATACCATAGCAGCCATGCATCTGGCGACCCACGGTCCAAGTCCCAAATGGGCCTGCATGAGGACCCCATGGCCTCGGTGGGGGGGCTGGTTTCTCCAAAGCCGAAAAAGCAAAACTTTATCAAGCGCATCCTCGAGTCTGCCAAGACCGGAGTCGCGAGCACCAGGGGGAGCATCGCGACTGCGAGCTCTGCTCAGTCACCCTCAGGCCGATCAACACCCGCTCTTCCCTCTCTCTCTGGGCCCTTGTTTAGCAGACCGGGGCGAGATGCTGGCAGAGAAATGGGGCCCGGCGCTGGCGTGGACTGGGTACAGGTGCGGCGCGATGTCAACCGATCCAACTCGCTGAGCCAGAACGAGCTCTTGGAGAGAAGAGAAAGGTGTCAAATGCTCGACTACCCTGCGTTGGACCCGGTGGAAGAACTATATAGCAGTATCGACGGTGATGAGGGAGCGGACGGGATGCCGGTGGCCGAGCCGGTAAACTACAGCGCCATCAACCTAAGTCAGGTCGACAAAAACTCGCGGTTCCTGGCAAACCTCCCTCCCACCACCACACCTATCACGCTGGCCACGACGTACGTCTGTAGGCCCTACCGTAGTGACGTACAACGGCTGCGCTCCATATTCACCTGGGTGTCGGAAAAGATCGCATGGGAGGAGGACTTTGACGGCCCCATTGACACGCGGCGGGTGATACAAACGAAGCGTGCGTCTGCCGAGGAGTATGCAACTCTGGTCCTAGAGATGTGCGCAGCGGTCGGGTTGACCTGCGAGATCGTCCGCGGATACCTGAAATCTCCGGGAGAAATTTCGGATGTCAACATCATGCCCCGGTCCAACCACTGGTGGAACGCCGTGCTGGTGGATAACGAATGGCGGCTGATGGACTGCTGCCTTGCCAGCCCTTCAAATCCGCGCCGGGTTCTCTATTCGAGCTACAACAGCTCGTCTGCCGACCCCTGGTGGTTCTTAGCGCGCCCCATTGAGCTGTGCTGGACGCATATTCCCGAACACCACGAGCAACAACACATTTGCCCGCCTGTGGCCCACGAGGTTCTCCTTAACCTGCCGTGTGCTTGCCCGCCGTTCTTCAATAACGAGCTGGAGATGATCGACTACAACACCTCGCTCACGCGGATCGAAGACCTCGAGATGGTGCACATCAAGTTCAACGTTCCGGCCGATGTCGAGGTGGCAGCCGAAGTCGAAGTGCGTAGCTACTCGCGTGACGCGGACGGCGACTTCTTCGAATCGGGCGACACAGTCAAGAAGCGGGCGCTCGCGCAGGCGGAGTGGTTCAACGGGACCAAGCGGTATACTATCAAGGCCCTACTCCCGGCTGACGAGGGTACGGGTACGCTCAAGGTGTATGCCGGCAAGCGCGGGCTCATGCACAGCATCAAGGACATCCCGCACCCGCTGGCGTTTGCCCTGCCCATCATCCACACGGGCGAGAACCCGCCTTACGAGTTCGTCACCCGTCACCCGACGCCCCACGCCCAGCGCCACGACATCTACGTCGTCCAGCCCCAGTGCCAGCGGCTCGCGCTGAACAACACCTTTGTATTCGCCATCCGTCAGCACCCCAGCTCTCTAGGGGGCGCGTCGGCGTCGGCCATTTCCCCGATGACGCCCTCGTCCAACCCGGGCAATGCGAGCCCAATCCCGTTCATCAGGCCCAGCTCCGCTATGAGCATGACCAGCTCCGCGGCGGGCTCCAACCCGAGCACCGTCGCTAGCGGTGGGAGCAACTCGTCGTCGTCGAAAAAGCCCGCCAAGCTCGCTATCCAGACCCCCGGTGGGAAGATCCTCCGGCTCATGCGCAAGGAGGAGAGGCGCGGCATCGGCGGTGTCTTGGGCGGTGGGAGGGGCCCGGCGTCCCCCGCAGCGTCGGGGCCGTTGCTGGGTGACGACGATGCTCCTGGTGATGGCGGGGTTTGGGAGACCATCATCAAGTGCTCGGAGCGCGGGGTGTGGCGCGGCCTGGTGCTGGCTGATCGCACGGCGAGGTGGTGCGTTTTTGCGGAGTGGGTTTGTGAGGGCTGAGTTCCCTACATGCCATGCCGTGTTTGCTTGCGCCTGGCCATTTTGAGATGAGATATGTGGTTTGGAAGTATTGGTTGGGGTGGGCGGATTCATCTTTTGATCATGATGACGACGGGAAGATCTGAACTGCGGTGGGATGGATGGAGGGATGGAAGGATTGTTTATATTTTATTTTTATATTCTGTGAGGATATGGCTGGACCTTTCCCTCGGTTTGGTGGAGGGTTTCGGCGCATGTACGGATAGGGATGGATGATTTAATGGGGTTGTGCGTTTGCGTGTTGTTGTTCTGATTCATTAGCCGGGTTGGGTTTGCATATGGGGGCGTTAGTTGTGTTTGGTCCTTGTCTTGGGAGCGAGCGTGTTGTTTGGGCGGGAGCGGATATGAGCGCTGGGGGGTAAAGGGGTCTTTATACAGTAAAGTGTATGAGTACTTTTGCAAAAGCTACCTACCTACCTACTTACCTTATCCAGTCTTATACTGCTTGACTTTTGTGATACCCGCCTAGATGCTAAAATGTACCTACTGTTTTGCTGATGGTGCTGTTGGTGTTGATCGTTGGTGTTCCACTTCACTTCCCGAATGCCGAAGCTGCCCGTCCTCGTCGACTTACCGTGCTCCGCTTTTCCATCTTGAACCACTGACTCCGTTGACGCCATACTTGAATCAGCCCACCACACCACCTGCCTGATCTGTCAATAAATCTGCTTAGGCCGTTTTATATCCTTGATATCTACCTCTTGACTCATTTCCACCTTCATTATTTTCACCCGTCACCACCATCTCTCTTCATCACCCAAACAACCACAGCAACAACAGTCAAACTCACCTATCACCCACTTCACCCCGCACCACTCACCCACACCATCACCCACCATGGCCCAACCATCCCAACCCACCCCCCCGGCCCCCACCATCGAAACCAACGACCTCACCTACACCTTCCAAGACTACTCCACCGGCATCTCCCACATCACTTTATCCCTGCCCTCCCGCTCGCGCACCCTGCTCATCGGCGCCAACGGCGCCGGCAAAACCACCCTGCTGCGCCTGCTCGCGGGCAAGCGGCTCGCGCCCTCGAGCACCATCCGCGTGGGCGGCGTGGACCCGTTCAAGGAGACGGTCGAGGGGGTGACCTACCTCGGGCTGGAGTGGGTGCTGAACGCGATCGTGCGGACGGATATCGGGGTGGGGGAGCTGTTGCGCAGTGTGGGGGGCGATGTGTACGCGCAGAGGAGGGATGAGTTGGTCGCGGTGCTGGATATTGATTTGGAGTGGCGGATGCATGCGGTGTCGGATGGGGAGCGGAGGAGGGTGCAGTTGGCGATGGGGTTGATCAGGCCGTGGAGGGTGTTGTTGCTGGATGAGATTACGGTGGATTTGGATGTGTGGAGCAGGGCGCAGTTTTTGGGGTTTTTGAGGCGGGAGACGGAGACCAGGGAGTGTACGGTCGTGTATGCGACGCATATTTTGGATAATTTGGCCGGGTGGCCGACTCATTTGGTGCATATGCATCTGGGGACGGTGAAGGCGTGGGGGAGGGCGGAGGAGATGTTGAAGGCGGTAGAGGAGAAGGATCCCGAGGAGGGGGATGGGATCGTGGGGATGGTGGGGAATAGCAAGTTGGGGGAGTTGGTGTTGCGGTGGTTGAGGGATGATTTGCGGGAACGGGGCCCCAGGAGCCAGAATAAGCGCGGGCCGGAGGGCTGGTCGTATAGTGTGACGGGTTTGGGGGGGTATGGGTTCGAGCCCAAGGGAGGGAAGGAGGACGCTTGAGATGAATTTGGTGGTTGGCTTTGCCATGCTCAATGGGGATGCGGGTTGGGGTTGGTCTAATATGGGTTGTGAAGGTGGATTCACCAGGCTTAAAGACCGGTTCACTGAAATAGAGGAGCGGTTCAAATGGGTACAAGCTGGTGCAACCTGCGGAATTGGGTCTTTTTACATGGGGGGGCAGGGTGGGTGGTTCAACATGGAAAAGGATGGCTCAACTTGGACGGGAGGAAGGTTTAACATGATACCCGGCGGCATTTAACATGGGTTTACGGCACGGCATGAAGTTTAAAAAACCATCTCGCGGTCCTGCATCAACTGGTAAACAGTCAATGTCAACATGATTGTCCATTGCTCATCATCCGGGTATCTTCATAACCGACCGCTACTGCTTCGTTGCCGCGCCCTCGGCCCTCCCAGCACTCTTCATCGTGCTGCGTATCAACTCAGGGATGCCCGGGAACCCCTTGGATTCTAGGTACGAGAGCACGCCCGACCTATAATCCTGCCACGACAGATTCAGCCCGCCTCTCTTGGCAAGCTGGCCCAGCGAACGCTGCGTCACCGGCCCAGCGTGCCTGGCGCGAAGATCCTCCATCTCGTCCTCTTCCAGCTGCTTGACGTACGCGTCGGAGAGCAAACACAGCAGCGGCGAGTGCGAGAGCCCAAACGCCGTCTCGAGCGACAGGTCCGAGTCGGCCGCGTGGATGTAGGTCCTGAGCGCCGCCTGCGCGGGCTCTGGGATGCGGCACCCCTGGGCGTTGGTGTCGGTGGTCGAAAAGGCGCGGCCGCGCCACAGACAGTTGCAGATGTCCATCAGGAAGCCGTTGAACACCTTGACCTGGAGTGACTCGAGCTTGCTCATCTCCCGCTTGGCCCCGGGTGTCGTGACGACCGCCCATGCGCGCTTGTAGGTGGCGAGGATGCCGCAGAGCCGGGACACGACGGCAAGCGAAGGGCCGAGGAAGAGGATGTAGACGAGCAGCGGGGGCGGGTTGACGATTTCGGCGTAGGGGAGGCGCTTCGTTTTGGAGTAAAGGGTAGTCGCGGCTTCGTAGAAGTCGAGAATGTGGAGGTGAGTGCTAACGGTTGGCGAGGTTTGGGTGAGTGTGAGGGCGAGTTCGTTGACGCGGAAGACAAGAGGGGCCACCGTAGGCCCGGGGAGGAAAACGGGGCGCTTTGTAGCTTCCAAGGTGATAGTCCACCGTTGAAGGAGGAGGGTGTAAAACCTGAGAAGGGATACTTGAGCAGCCGGCGTGTTGTCCAATATCGCATGCTCCAGAACCTGTAGGATTTTGTTGAGCGCTGTTCATGCGTTAGCTTGGGTGTTCCGAAGACGGTAGTGTGAACACATACCTTCGGGCTCCATCATAGGAATATAGCTCAGAGATTCCAAGATGATATCCCGTTTATCAACACCGTTCCAGATGCTCAGAAACTGTACGAAGAAGGTAACAAGGATGGGGGGCAATGCCTGTCGTGGAGTTAGAGTTGGCCAAAACCAAGGCAACTGACCTGGGTGACTGTACAAACCTTGGTGGCAACCGCATAATCATGGACCACTTCAATCATGTCGAGGAGGATCTCCGAGTCGGCATCACCGCTGGCAACATCGCCCAAGCATGCCATCAACCAGTTGCTGATACGGGACGACGCTTCGGCGTTTGGCCGGAGGAGCAAGAACTTTTGGAGAAGCGGATCCGCCAGCACAGCAACAAGCTGGGTGGGCAGCTCAATCTTTTCGAGCCTCTTGGCAAAGGATTCGGCATTGTCAATCTCTTCCAGGGTAACGGAGCTCTAAAGGTGGTCAGACCCAGGATAGTTATCTGATACAACGACGGACAGGCCTACCTCTTGGACGTGCATGGTACGGACAGACGGAATCAAGACTTTCGCCCCTTGTAACCGCCGACCAAGCAAGTGGTTTACAGTGAAACCGTTTTTGATGCCTCCTTCATCTTGGCGCTCCGACTGTCGGTGCTGTATCTCGTCGAGTCTCGTCCGCCATTGCGCGTCAGGGTGCTGCTATGGGTCAGCGGTGGATTCGGTTGGAGGCACACGGGAGAGGGATACTTTGAAGGATGCCGCTCGGCCCTTTGTGATGTCTCCCACAATAATTTCCGGGTAGTAGTTCTTGAATACCCGCAAAAGGCCGGTCAAGTTGTGGTCGCCGCCCGTTTGGCGGGACAAGTTGAGTCTGCAGTCGGTTCGTCATCAACGCCATCCACTCTGCAGCCCTTGCGATGCCTGTACTTACATTTCCTGAATGCGGAATGGCCTCACATGTTTCCGCCTCGTCACTAGGGCAAGAATATGACATAACTGGGGCCTGTCGAAACGGTAAGTGTCGTCCAAGTAACAAGTTGCCTGGTCTTTCTTACCTGATGGCAGCGGTATCCAGCAGATTAAACAATACACCATAAGATTGTGACAGGATGTTCGGGTTCTCCAGCAGGTGATAAACCATCACAAGCCATCGGAGCAACAGAGCCTGGAGCGGCAGGGTGGGTTTGAGTTGGCCGTGCCCCAACGCCCCGACACAACGCAAGACGACCTCATCGCTAACCTTCCCCGACGGGTACAGGTTCCGGACAATAGCGCCGAGACTGGCTTGGTCGAGGTGGTTTCGGATGGTCAAGAGGTCAACAAGACGGGCGAGTTCATCGGGGAGGACTCCCCTATCGTAAAGCAGCGAGGTTGCGGTCTCGACGGTCGACTTGATGCTTGTCCCTCGGCGCTTTGCTGGCACTTTTGAGGCTACCCGGGTGTCAGCAATCTTGTGTGTCCCCTTCTCGATTTCTCTCTTTTTCTTTTTCTTCACTTCATTTTTTTCTTTTTTTTCTTTCCAGGCGCAATTATGAGATGGCATGCTTACCCTCTTCGAGATCCTCAATGAGGCCGCTGAGGTCGTCGCCGCCCGCAATTGACATTGTGGTGAATTCGGTATTCGTATTGAGCCCGGATCTACAATTGATTCAACGCTAATAATCAATCATCCCTCACAATAATGCCTCCATTTCTGATGGTTTAGAGTTCCCTGGTTGTAAAATGGGTATCGTGTAATTAACAAGTCGGACGCGTTGTGAGTGGAACGCGCTTGTGCTGGTATTCTACGTAGATGCGTAATTTACGAATACATCGCCAGTCAATACGAGGATTACGGAGTTGTGGGTATTTCTGCCAATACCCATCCACAGCAGTATTCTAATTGATGATCGCTTGATCTTCATCATCTCTTGTTGCTATATATTTTCTTTCCTTCTCTTTTCTTTTGCTACTACCCCCCATCCGCGTTCTAATTTGGGATTGCCTGGTGCATGCAAAGGGTGTTTTGTGCTTTTCTACCTGGGATTCCAAACCCAGGGCAGGCGCTGACCGGTTCAAGGCAGCGACCACCACCGGATTTCCTTTTTCCATTTTCCCATCCTCCTCTCGGTTTCCCGCCCATTGTCCTTCTGTGCCTGTTCCTGGGCCTCAACTTTACACCACCACAATAATCCCGGCTCCTGACATGTAACCATACTTTAACCTAACCTCTCTTCGGGTTCACGGTTGGCTTTCCTTCCTCCGTCCGCCTGTAACAGACCTGGTACCACCTCGGCCGCACGTGCTGTCCCTCAACGCACGTTGTTCATGCTGCGCACCAACATTGGCGACACAATTGGACAATGTCAGCCTCGAGAGCCGCAATACTCGGATTATCAGGTCATTCTGCCCTCCCAGGATGACAATTGACATCCATACCAGACGTACCCTTGATGCCTTGTGCGACGAAGTACGCTGCCATGGCCACAACACGGCATCGCTTTCGCCTTCAACCAAGACTCGAAGCGAACGAGTTCTGTTTGTGTTACCACTCCATCTGCGCCCGGCCCGTTTGGTCATCATTCAACGGCGGCTGCGCGTGCCGCTCGAGGAATCGGGCGAGTGGCGCCCCCATTTCCAAGATTCCTCCCACATTTACCTCAACAACCAAGGGCGATGTTGCCAACTCGACAACGCTTGTTTGTCGTGCATGGGACGACCGTGTGATGACTAGGCGGCATTGCGCACCCCAACACAATATCCGCGCGCTCTTCTTGTACCACCCCAGTTCTTTTTCAGGCACACACCACGGCTATAGCCTGGTCCCTGTGAGCCAATGACGCCGGCAGTCAAGGCAGCACCATTCATGGGGTGTCAAATCCCCATTGCCTTGCCCCCTTTCTATGAGGCGCCCAAGTCGAACCGTGGCCGCTGCCTTGCTTCAAACCACGTTGTTGAAACACGCATTTTACCTGGCCGCCTGCAAGCCTCGAGCTCTCTCCTTTATGTTTCCAAGTGCGGCATCTCGAGGCCACCGCAGAGCCCCGGCATTGGCTTACGGAAGCCTGACAGAGCCGGGATAGCAATGCTGACTTGTATCTTACCCTTCGTCCCTGCGGTTCCGTTCCTATTCCACTACCCGCGTCTAAAGAGTCTGGTTCGGGGTAAATGAGAAACAACCGCCATCCGCACCGCAGGGAGTGGCAACCAACCTGCCTTGCTGTGGTGCGCCATTGCTCTCTTCCTCTCTTCCCGCTGCCGGCACGGCTGCTTTCTGGTTCTGGTGCACCCCCAGCTCCCCTGCCGCTCCTATTGGCCCCTGGGCCGGATCTCCTGGAAGGGGAATCGAATCCTTCCGCACCTTGCTTAGCTACATCAGATCGCTCTCCGTTGGGTCCATGAGAGCTGAGCTCGGACAGCCATAAACACCAACAAGGGTTCCGGCCACTTGGTTCTTGTTACGCTGCGGTTGTGTGTTTCGCCCCGGGGGTACTCGGTCGAGGCTGGGAAGCCTGACCACTCGCGTCTCGTATCATCCGTCGCCACTCAGACGGTGCCACTCAAACGGTGTGTGCAGCACCGCATGGTTTCGACTGCTCCTCAAGTCACCATTCGCTCCACCAAGGGGCGCCAGTAAGTGGGCGGAGCGACCCTTAATCATCCCGGCCCTCACTGACCAGATGGACTAGGTCGCCTGATGCCTTGTGTATTTATCTGGCCTTCATACCACGAAAACTGGCGTAAAACACATTGTCTCGCTGTCTGCGCAACCGCCTACCGCCTTCGCAATGGAGCTCACAAGAAGGCGAGGAGTGGTGTCCCTCCAAGACTCTCAGTCATGCATTCCGCTCTCGGATCACCTCAAGGACGGCGACATCATACTGCTACTAACGCCCGGGATCGCGCCAGACGTAAATCCCTCGCCTAGTGACCTCGATAACCCCCCTAGCGATCCCTTCGAGCCCCTTGGGAAGGCCCTGGCCAAGCACCACCCATGGGTCCGCCATGTCCCGTATCTGCCACGCAACGGAATCACCGGTACTCATGTCGTGCACATCAGGCTAGCCGCCGCCGTCATTTTTGTTATTTCGGGCCCTCCGCGTCACGGACAACCCTCGCAACTAGCTCTGGCCGAAATCACCAAAGCCCTCTGCGAGACCCGACCTCAAATCATCCTAACTTGCTGCAACTTGCAAGAATTGGGGCCTCTCGAACAGTCCTTCCCTACCATATTAGAGGTACCTGGCTTTGCTCCGCCAGACTTGGAGGCCGCTGCCGATGTTCTCTTCGAACCGAGAAAACCGAGCCCAAAGGCATCGAAGGTACAAAACATCACCATACCCCCAAAAGCTTGGGCTGTCGAGGTATGGGACGACGACCGCGAGCTATCTGATATTCTGGACCTGTGGTGTCAGTGTTTCCCGGAGACCTTCCATCTTGACCCTTATCGATTCCGGTCATTACTTCGCCGAGACGGTTATGCGATGCATTACGTCGTCCGGAAACCCGGCGCTGCCCAAATCCTGGGCTTCTGCGCAACCTACACGACCTACGCCGACAGTGGCGGCGAGCGTTTGCTGGGGTCCCTGGCAGCTCTTCTCGTTCACCCGTCATATCGCCAACAGGGGATCGGCTTGAGTCTGCACACGCACGCCCGGCGCCAACTTACAAAGATACGCGGTGTTTGCCGCCTTCAGCTCGGGAGCACTTTTCCTCGGCTTCTTTACGGTCTCCCAGTGACTCACCGTATGAGGATTGGTTTCTGGAACTCGCGGGTGGCCGATAAAACCGCTCTCCTCAAACTCGGGCTCTGGGCAACCAGTGTGCGACTGGGTTTCTCAAGTTCAAGGATTGGTGACAACTGGTTTGATGTATCCCATCTTTCTTTCGTCCCCTGCGAATTTGCAGAGTTTGACATGGTGCTGGAATTTGTCGAGAAGGAATCGATGAAAAAAGACACCATGGGCTGGTACGACCAATATGCGAAGCTGGCCAACACAATGAACATCCAGGATATTGTTCTGGGACTCGAAGGGGGCACCATCATCGCCGCGGCATTGACTTATGTCAAGAATACCGGGAGCCCGGCGGCAGACGATCTTCCATGGGCCAGTACCATCGCCGACGACGTCGGGGGTGTTACATGTGTTTGTGTCAGCGGTATGCCAGCCCATTTTTACTACTCCTTGGAATTTTAGAATGCCAACTAACGGGCGTCCTCAGATGATGTGCCGAATAGTTCAAACAAGCGAGATGCGGTTATGATTAGGCTTCTCGATAGCTGCATTCGCCTCCTCGCAGATCAAGGGATGAACAGGCTACTTATTGACGCGGTCATAGGGGGAGATGAAGGATTCCAATCCATGGGTGAGTACTTCACCAAGCATGGTCAATACTTGGACGCCACTGACTCGATATTAGGCTTCCAAAAATGGGCGAGATACAGGGACGTGTGGCAGGATGTTTAAAATCACGCGATGTCGCCCTTCCGGCACGGTCAAGGGCAAAATGAGACGAGGACGCACCTACAGTTGGAGCGCTTGGCTCGGCTTAACTCAAGGCAGCCTGCATTAAGGGTAGAATGGCAAGTCTGAAAACGTCGACTGCATAACTTCATCGGTGCCCAACTGGCCGCCAACTACCGAGCCGAGACACGGCCCGAGAAGGCATGGGAGCCGACCGTCACACTCGGCAAGCAATCCCTAGTTTTCAATGGAACAGGTTACAACCGGTTACACAAGCAGATGTTCTTACCCTGCCAACGTGTGCCATTTCAAAAGAAAAAAAAAGAAAGGAGGATATAAAACCGAGTGGCATGGCATCATATTTCGGCGCGGCCAGCCTAACGACATCAGTCGTTCGGTGTCCGAGACTCCACCAGGCTTCAGTTTTGCCCCGAAAAAGACAATGAAAGAAGTAACCACGTGCTCATCGGATTCTGGTGGCCGCTGGGAGCGCCTGGGCGGTCAAACCCCCGCTTCCAATCGTTGTTGCCATGGAGCTCCTTGGCTCCTTTGTGAAACATACGTATGTATGTACAGTCCGGCGTGAGCCGCATGACCCGGCCGTTTACGCCACGGCCCTTCCCAACCATGGCATCGTTATACCAACGAATCCCGTCATTGTCGCCTTGAAGGGCTCTCATCCGCCCGCTCACTGACGACGGGGTTAGCGGCGAACCAAGAACCCAAGACTCTCCCAACACACGGCCCATGTGCCCTCGACATCTCGGCGATCGGCTCCTAGGACGGTGAGGCCTTCTTGATCCGTTCAAGATATCCAGGCCGGACGGAGCCTTAATCAATGTCTTGTATATTCGTCCCCTTGGGGAAGTGTTAAAGGGCTTATTGGGTAAAACCCTCCTCGGCACCTCTCGTCCGAGCAACCGAGTAAAAGTCAGAGACTTTTGGCCTAGTCTTCCTCGGTCTCGAGTTTATTATCAAAAGGCCACGGAAATCTCAAATGGCCCGCCGCCATTTCAGCGGCATGGTTCGAAATCCCAGAGCCGTACTGATTCATGGTGATTCATGGCGTTTCGGGTCTGAGAATCCCTTTCCTCACACCATGCAATATGACACGGCCCGATACTAGTTGATTCATTCCTCTGTCGGCGTCGGGTTCTCGGCCCTGACCCTAGGCTAGCACCGGGCTACACAGGCGTATGGGGCGATTTTCGGCTGTGTAACCACCGGCTCTGTGGTCACACGTCAGTCCAGTTCATATGCTGACACGAGCCAAGCTCGCGGCACCATGTATTCCTCGATTAGAGAAGGTTGCCTCTTCCGAAATACGGGATACTGCGAAACCACACTCTTCCATCTCCTCATCCCTTCCTCTCCAACCACGTCCAGTACAGTTATACCGCTGACATTACAAGGCGTTGCCCACGCTCACGCGCCCACTGGACCCCTTCCCCCCCCGCCCCGGCGGCACAGCAAACTGCCGCCCAACAACCCTTTCCCACATGCAGTCAGACGAGAAGGATCCAACCTGCGTCCGATCCCGCACGGCTTTGCACCTGCAACATCCCGATTCGGCAGTGACATCTCTCATCAGCAGGCCAACGATGCATGTGTGCACGCACCTGCGTATGTTCACTACAGTACACCATATCCATCTGACCATACCGCACGGACTCTCGGTTTGCGGGTGTCTCGCTGCATGGGCGCGGCGCTGGCTGGCCCGCCGCTGCAGGGGAGACTGAGACCGGCAGGCCCGCCGAGAGTGGTCTCTTGGTTGTCGCGGGGTGGCCCTCCGAGTTCCGGTTTTCCTTGTTGTATGGAAGCGAGGAGCCTTGTTTATTTATAAACTTTCCTGGCCCCCACCAACAGCGAGAACATTGGGGTCGATCGCAAACATCCCCACTGCTGAGCACATCTACTTGTACATACGTAATCTGGCTCACGCAAAAATGTGCGGGATCGCCTGTGGTGCGGGTAGCGGCAGGTCCTGGCTCCGTATCCTGTCTGTATGGGATCGAAGATGGGGAGATTCTTTTCTCGATCGGTCCTCACCGTGCACGGTTCTTGCTTGGGAGAAAGCTGGTTCACGCTGTGTAACGGCAGGCAAACCCTGATGGCAGTTGTAGACTGGTGCTACTGCTACCACACCGTCAATGGTTCCGGCGTTTTTCTCCCCATGCTGTACTCTTTGAGAGGCCTGCGTATGCTGTGGAACAAAACATTCGGGCCATTATTGTTTGTTTTTCTGGTCCTGGTGGTACGTGAGCGGATACTACTCGTCCGCGGCCTGGTCGAGTGCGTCCTGCCCTTCTTGGCTATGTGTGTACTCTTCTTATCACCTGTTTGGCCAACAATTGTTGGGGGGGCGTATATCCCTCACAGGCCCCCCATTCTGGATACAAATTTCAACTT